GTTTTAGCAATAATGAGGTTGGTGGACTCGACATCAGGGAACTGAAAGACCTTGAGGGTTGAGCCATCCCCTATTTTTTTTTTTAAAGATTTTATTTATTTATTTGACAGAGAGAGACACAGCGAGAGAGGGAACACAAGCAGGGGGAGTGGGAGAGGGAGAAGCAGGCTTCCCGCCGAGCAGGGAGCCCGATGTGGGGCTCGATCCCAGGACCCTGAGATCATGACCTGAGCCGAAGGCAGACGCTTAACGGCTGAGCCACCCAGGCGCCCCTAGCCATCCCCTATTTAAGGAAGCAATCTGGCAGCCAAAGGAGCCTGAGGTAGCATAATGAAGCTTAGAAACTAAAATTTCCTTTCAACACACGCCAAAGGGTTTAACTATTAAATTTATATCAACAGTATTTCCCAACCAGGAGCTAAAAATGAACTCTCTTTACCTGTCTTCCTCCTTCCTGGAGACTTGAAGTCTTCCCAGGTGATTTCTTTGCATCATAAACTCCTTTTACATTTCAAGCAGGAAGCAAGTAGCTATAGAGAACTCACCAGAACCCTTGTGTCGTCAGTGGCTTGGAACTAAACAATGTAAGGAACAATATTTATATTTATATACTATAGACTTTGAAATTTCTTACATTAATGTGTTATATACAATAGGCTTCTAATCCTAAGTAAAATATCCCCTTGGATGTCTGATAGATACCTCAAACTTAAAATACCTCACACTGAGCTCTTGAGCTCATCCTATCTCAAAATCTTGCTCTACTGAGCGTATCCCCCTTATCTGATCATGACCACTTGGTTCCTTTTAGTTTCTTTTTTTTTTTTTTTAAGATTTTATTTATTTATTTGACAGAGAGAGACATAGTGAGAGAGGGAACACAAGCAGGGGGTAGTGGGAGAGGGAGAAGCAGGATTCCCGCCAAGCAGGGAGCCCGACGTGGGACTCGATCCCAGGACCCTGGGACCATGACCTGAGCCGAAGGCAGACGCTTAACAACTGAGCCACCCAGGCCTCCTTGACTCTATGTGTGTGTGTGTGTGTTTGCATGAGTATGGGTGTGGGTGTGTGTATTTAAAAACTAACCTCTCAAGAAATCCTGATGGCCCTACCTTCAAAATATATCTAAAATAAGATCACTTCTCACAGCCCTGTAGGAACCCCTCATCACCTCTTGCCTGGATTTTGCATTTGCCTCTGAAGTGCTTCACCTGCTTCACTTGGCCCAATGCAATAATTCTCAACAAAGCAGTCTTCCAAATCCTTCTAAAATATGTCAGATCACATCACTACTGTGTTAAAAAAAATCCTCCAATGGCTTTCTCATGTCACTCATGGGCAAAGCCATGTTCTTAGAATTTCATATCAATCTTATGGGATCTGGCCCCATTACCAATCTGACCACCTCCTCCCACATTCTTCCTCTTACAGTGTGGTCCAACCACAGGGCTTTTGCACTTGCTGTTCCCACAGCCTAGTATTCTTCCACCAGAGTCTTATGGTTTACTCCTTCGCCTCCTTCGAGTCTTTGCTTAAATTGCACCTTTTCAGTGAGGCCCTTCCTGACCATTCTAATAAAGATTATAACACCCTCCACGCCACATTCTTATCCTTCTCCTTTTTCCCGTAAAGCACTGATCATCATCACGATATGTTTTATTTACTTATTAAATTTATTGTCTATCTTTTCCCCACTAGAATGTCAGCTTCATGAGACCAGAATTGTTTGACTGACTTATTCATTGACGTATCGCCAGTGCCTAGAATCAAGTCTGGCACGTAGTAGGTCTAGCCACCACGTACAGCCTCACAGGCTGCATACTTAACAAGACCAGAGCACACTATTTATATGGAAATGGTATCCCCTGGAGTTGTGCAAAATTTCAGCCCCACAGGATTTCAATAAACGTTTGTTGAATCAAAGAAAACATGTTTTGCCCTACTATCTTAAGTACATTCTGTCAATAATCTCTAGAAAAATCACTAGTATTAAAGGAACACTTGCAGAGTTTATAGACTCACAGACCAAAGGAAGATATTTATAACAGACCCTGGATTGTGGGTTTAAACTACCTACACCACCATAAATACTGTTTACTAACTAAACAAAGTATTTTGAATTCCACTGGAGGTGGGCAAATTGGCTGTGTTTTGGAACTCTACATAATCACTATTTCCCCACAAGATAATTGAACAGTAAGTGTTATTTTAAGTCATCTTGGAAGAATTCCCAGTTTCACTGTAGGAAAGAGAGTTTATATCTTGGGATTTTGTTTTGTTTTGAGAATCAGCACACACGACTGTTCATGCAGCTCTTTTGTCTGTTGTGATTACGTTAAATCCATTCCTTCAAAGATGTTTTACCATACTGCAGCAGGGTTTACTCACTCACCTATCCTATTCTCCACCTTTGTAACATTTTCTCCTGACATGTTTCTTCCTGTTACAGCTGATTACATAAGATTTTATAGCTAAATATACCAGCCTCCCTCACCTTCCTGTCTGATTAATATAAGAATGTCACAATTCCCTTGGAGTAGCCACTGGTGACGTCGTAGCCTTTCCTTATGAGGATGAATTGTCAGGAACCAGGATTTCACCGAGGCCTGTGGGTAGAAGCGAGGAGAGTCTACTGGAAATGTTGCCAATAAGGGAGTTAACAATGGTCTTTGAAACATTCTCTGTAGTCACTAGCATGACCTGGAGGCTACTAACTAATGTGGTTCACCATATTGAAAGAATGAGTCATATATGATGAGGACACCCTGGTTCTTTACCAGTCACCAAGGTGATCTGGTTTTCCACTGTTACCTGTTGTCTTGTGTTAGTTTAATATGGCATCATACTGCCAGAGATTTACATGTTTTCTTTGAGAGATTTACAAGTACTTTCACGTCCTTTTTGTTAAGAGGCACACAGTTGTGCAGATGTTTCTTTTTCTCTCTTCTTCCCATTTGATTCGTGTAGGAGGCCACAGCTCTCACAGCAGTAGTGGAGATGTCATACCCCCTCCTGAATGTGAGATTATCAAATCCCGAATTCTTTGGTGAGGTTGGAGGAAGTGAGGTGGGGAGGTGTGTCCAGGAAGCACTTAGTCAAGAGGAGACAGCAAGTAGCCTTTTGAGCTTTCTCATTGAGAAGTAGGTAACTCCATGATGGTGCTTTACTGCTGAAGACTCTGGAGAACAAGATGGTTAAATTTTAGATGAGAAACACTTTATTTTTACTCTTCAGTGTGTTTTTTGCCCTTGGGCTGGTGAGGATGGATGGAAAATGTGCATAATGAAAGTCGCCCAAATTACCACATTTAGTATTATTTGAACATGATCTGCTCTTACCTACATTATGAACAGTATGGCCTGGGCCCACAGTGTGGATGTGCTCTTACAAGTTGACCTTGGCTGGTGTCCTTCCAGTCCATAGCCTCCTTACACACCACACAGCCACACCCTCATCACGGAAGACATGGCCTGACCATCAGTTTCCAGATCCACTCCTTGATTATTCTGGAACACAGCCCATTTGTCCAGATAGTTTTCCCAATCTGGGCCCTATGCCAGGCCTTTGTGCAGCTAAGAGGAAGGAGAATAAGCTAAGGGTTAAGAGCTTGGGCATCAGAATCAGTTACACTTAACTCTCACTTACTGTGTAAATCATTAACTGTCTTTCAAAATAATTGGTATTTTCTTCTTTCCATGATTATTCACACTCTTCCCTCTGCTGAGAATGATGACTGCCACCTTCATCTTTCAATATCCATTTTTGCATCCTCTGACCATTTTAACGTTTGTTCCAGAGAGGAACTTATTTGTATCTTTCTGTTCATTTGTATTGTTATTGTTTTACTTGTCATGTATCTTAAACAGTTTTACTAGATTTAGTAGATTGCTTCTTAGTCTTTTTGTATCCATTGTGGCACTTAGTGTGAGGCACATGTTGTTTAATCAACAATGATAAAATATTTTTGCAGAAGGCTCATGAAAGAATTTAAGTTTCATCTAATCTGCCAACCTTGACAGGGAAAAAAAACATTGAATCAAATATGCTTCCTTAGTAACTGAATGCTGCTGAGTAATTAACCTACTATAGATTCTGAAGATCAGACTGTTTACATGGACTCTTTCTGTCCATTCTTCTGTAACCAGAAATGTTAGGTGAGTGTCTCCACAGGGAAACATTTAGTCTCTAGTTGGACAAGCTGGGTAGGAAATGAAACTAACCAAAAGGAGGATGGGAGCACCAGTCTCCAAACTCTGCATCCTGTGTTCTGGCTACAAACACGTTACACATAAAGAAAGCTCCACAGTATATTTGCTCCGTGTTTTTGCTAAGGATCCTCTTATATAGACAATAAACAGTAAAACCACTTAGATAACTCATCTGTTCCCTAAGTAAATTAACATATGAAAATACTTAGGACAAGAAAAGCACTCAACAAATGTTAGTTTTTGTTTTGGTTTTAATATTGTTTCATTCTTTAAAGTTGTGCTGACCAATAAGGCAGCCGCTAGCCTCATGTGGCTACTGAGCCCTTGAAATGTTACTTCTCCGTACTGATTTGTGCTCTGAGTATAAAACACACCGAATTTCAAAGACTTAGTATGGAAAAAAGAATGTCATATAGCTCATTAATAATTTTTATTTTTAATGATTGCATACTAGTTTGGTATATCAAGTTAGATAAAATATATTATTTAAGTGAATTTCAGCTTTGCTTTTTATTGTATTAATGTGACTACTAGAAAATTTTAAATTACATATGCAGATCACATTTGTGACCTGCATTATATTTCTATACTGTATGCAAATATTCATTAAGAATCTTGATCAGCTAAGAGAAAAGGAAAAAGAACAAATTATAACTGAACAAATATGAACTATTTTCTTATTAAGATTGAAATTAAATGTGGGGGATTTTTTCATTGTTTTGTGGTCAGTTTTAAACTTTAAGAAACTATACTAACATTTTATATCTAATGAAAAATAATTCCTATTTCTAGGTTACTAGTTGGTTCACCTTGGAGTGGCTTTCCTGAGAACCGAATGGGAGATGTGTATAAATGTCCTGTTGATCTGTCCAATGCTACATGTGAAAAGCTAAATTTGGAAAGTAAGTAGTAATTAGCAATATGACTTTTTACAAATAACAAGATCTCATTTGATGTAACTCTAATTTAAAAAAATAACAAAATCAATCATAGTCTGTCTTGAAGAAACAGACAACTTTTTTGCCTTTATTATCTTTAGTCATATGGGGTCCAATTGTATCCAAATTTCCAACACAGCTTAAAGACCTGATTTAATAAGATACATGAGAAATGTGCTGCCTCTTGGACCATCTACCCCCAGACTGTGGACCAGTTTCCATCAATGTTCAGGATTATTTTGCTGATTATTTATAGATATCTAAGTCTAACCATACCTCTTTCCCTCCTCAAAACAAACCATTAGGTATAGACCTGTCACTACTAGTGTTGCTTTTAGAGATGCTGAGAAACACTCTGTTGCATTCTAATAAAAAAAAATTGTCACTATTTAGAATACTTTGTAATTGTTTGTATTTATTATTTTACATGGCTAGTCTCATGATTTCCTTTTAAAATTCAGTCATTGATGTTTTGGGCCAGCTTCTACTGTATGCATTTTTTGATAACACTTGAAGGATTTTTTTTTTCTGATCCATAATAAAACATTAGATGGAGCTATTATGACCTTGAAAAGAGTAGGTTGGCAAATTGTAGACCGAACAGTGTCCTCAGGTTTGTATTGTTTGGCCAGCATTTTGTTTTTAAAAAATTTAAATTTAAATGCCTGTAAGTCATGCCCTTTACAGACACTACCCCCTAATATCTGACATTCTGTAACCTCACTCATTTAAGTGTACAAGCTACCAGATCACTGAAGGCCTCCTTTCTTTACATGTGATTATGTAATGTGAGTACCTGGATATATGACACTAAATTCAATGCTACACATAAGCATCAGTGTGGGGGTCTTTTTTTAAACAAGTTTAAATAACTGGTGAAGATTTATTCACTTTTTAAAATATTTTTCCCTTTGAAAGCTGCCACAAGCATTCCCAATGTTACTGAAATGAAAACCAACATGAGCCTTGGCTTGACTCTCACAAGGAACATGGGCACTGGAGGATTTCTCGTGAGTGTTTACCTTTCAAATTCCCATCTATTTCAAGAAAGTATGAAGTTAGTGTCTTCTCACCATCCCACCTATCAAATCAAATCTTGACACTTAAATATTAGAGTTTGCTTTTGGATAAATCATCCATTGTGGATATACAACATGAAATGCCCATCTGTTGATGTATAGACTTCTTAAGATATTCAGCAAAAGCATTGCCACAGAATGTCTTAGAAAAAAGCAACACAAGGAACACCGATTCTTTGCCCTTGGAAAGTACTCTTAGCATTTGTTGATAATAGCAGAATTCCAGGTCTCATTTCTCCTTCCCGTAGGAACATTCAAGATAGGTACTGCTAATTCAGAGAGTGGATTTCAAAGCTGAAGAGTATTTCTGTCTTTAATCCTTTGCTGTAACTGTTGGTAAATCTGATATCATCTAAGTCATGGCTTGGTCTCTTCTTATTTCATATTAGTGTTTACTCTCATTTAGTTTCTAGAATGCTGAGGAAAGAATCACAAATCAGTAAGAAAAAAATACCTTCTTTAACAAGCGGTCTGGGGACAATTAATTGGTTAATAACTTGTATATTCAAATATGCTTTCAAGTGAATTAAAGAGTTAATATTAAAAACTGGAAGAAAATGGAAATTTTCTGAAAGAGGGAAAAATTTCTGAGCTTAGAACTAACAGGAGAAATAATATAGGAAATTGTTGAAAATATCTGACTATATTAAAAAATGAAAACCATCACATACCAAAAAAAATTTTAAGGCAAATAAAAACCCAATTTTATTAGACATTTCCACCAGCTCATAGATGATCCTAGTTATATCGCCCTGTTAAAATAGCCATAGAATGCTTAATTTAACTTTACATTAGTTATGTCTATACGATTGACATGCTAACTTAAAAGCCTATGTGTATAATAACTAAATTATTCTAAAAATATAATCAATTTTTAACAATGTCTTTCTGCTTTTACTAATAGATACTAGTATTCAGACATTGGTATTCAGATATCAGGTATTGCTTATAATATGTGTAATTCAAAGCAAAATGAATATTGCAATGAATCTTCACAGTTTATGATACCCCAAAGTCTTTATAATAGCGTTGCTTTCCTCTTTTTTTTTTTTTTTTGTTTGCTTGTTTGTTTTTAAGGTTGAATAAATTCAGGAAGAGGAACATATTGAGATATAGGGATTACAGGTTGTGCTTCACAATTTTTAATGTGTAACTTCAGGTAAAGTAATTTAAAATTGCTAGAGAATTTAAGAGATTAATTTAACAATCAATGTAGCAAGCAGAGAAGGCGCAAAGGGGGAGAGAGGGAGAGAGAGAGAGGAAAAAAGAAAGAAAAAAAAAAGCCAAAGCTTCCTTTACATGCCTAAAAGGTCAAAATCTTAAGATACTCTTAAGAATTATGTGGAAAAGACTGACAATCATCACATTTTTTTTTAAACTTCTTAAGTTCTGGGCTTAAAGCAGGAATGTAGTTCTGGCATTAACAATTGGCATATTCTAATTTCAACTTCTAAATGCTGTTTTCCATTGCTTTTAAAACAAAAAAAAAAGATCTTGAATATTTCATGAGTTACTGTTTTTCAAGGTGATTTAAAAAAAAACCATTGGGGATGGGGATATAGGAATCAATAATTGGTATCTGTTATTTGGTAAACTAACCAAAGCCGTCAATTGTGATTGTCCCCTAACTAACTGGCAAAATGAACCAGTTTTATAGGAGGAAGAACTATGGCTTATTCATTGAGCACGAAATATGACCACAGCTGCTTTTCCTTCGAGCAACCAACAATTACTGGATCAAATAAATTCCCTTTTATTCTTCCAATTGCTTTTTGCAAGTTCACACTTTTTTGTTAAGCTTTAATAATTGATCCACAGCTTTACCTAATGTTAAACTTTGTAGGTGCTCTTTAAGATCTTGTCTAGACTTCTCTTTCCCGTTTTTGTCCTTTTACATCTAGCAATTTTAATATTATTTAATGTGACGTTTTCTGTGTGATTTAATCACAACTGAAGCAGGAGTTCTTGGCATTCAAGGGCTGCTGAAAAAGAGAGATTTGAGGCTGGGTTGTCGGGACTATGAAGAATTGTAGTATGTCTGGTGTGGGCAGGGAGACAAGTGGTAGCTTGGATGACCTAAGGTTTTATGTAGTAGAAAAAGGGGGATCAGAAGTCCTCAAATAAATACTTTAGAACAAAGTCAGAAACTGGCAGTTCATGAACATCATTGTGTTTGGTGAGCCCATAGAGTTTTTTGGGTTTTTTTTTTATTGAATTTTCACGAAAAATTTGTCCTCTCAGGCCCTCCTTGAAAATTGGAAAGATCTGGCAAGGCTGGCAATGGGCAAGAGCCATGGTGGCTGCCCCTGGGTTCTTCATTCATCATGGCGTCTATACCAGCCCAGAACACTCCTAGGTTCCTGCCTGGCCCTGGGGCTTGTGGGCCTATGGTTTCTGCTGAATAGAATAAGAGGTAGTAGACAGAGAGCATAGTAGTATAAGTGAATGGTATAATCTTTGTTCAAGAATAATAATAGCAATGAAGCTGGCTTACAATTATGTAGCATTTTGCTATTTACCCTGCACTGTTCTAAATGTTTTATATCTATAGACCCACTTAATCTTTACAACAACCTTAAAAGATAATAGGTATGATTATCCTCGTTTACAGATTCAGCCCCTGAGGCCCAGGTAACTGAGAGACCGAAGAGGAAGGAAAGCACCCGCTTTCTCTAGCTTGGGGGGTGACCAAAGGGGCTTCTCCTTGCACCATCAAGACCTGCCTCCCAGCCCAGCGGCCACCTTCTTTCTCCCTTACTTCTGGTTGCTCTTTCTTTCTGAGACACTTTCTCTCAGAGGCTTTTTTTTGATCTGTTAGTTCGTTACAAGAGTTGACAATTCCTAGTATCTGGTAAAATCATAGAAATGATCTCTGAGTTTTACCAATGGAGACGTAGAGGACTCATGTTTTCCATGTTTTGTCATTGCTCTCATTTCTCTGAAGACGTGTGGGCCCCTGTGGGCACAGCAGTGTGGAAGTCAATATTACACAACTGGGGTTTGTTCTGACGTCAGTCCCGATTTTCAGCTCTTGACCAGCTTTGCACCTGCAGTTCAGAGTAAGTGATGAATGTGCAGAGGGTCCGAGCAATGCCTTACATGAAGGGGGAAGGTGGGATTTATCAAGTGCCACCCAACTCCTCAAGTCCATTTTACTTTGTTCCATTTGCATATGTGTGAAGACTGAATTACCTATGGAAATCTGTTTCTTTCATCTTTTCCTGTGTAGCCTGCCCTTCCCTCATAGATGTTGTGGTTGTGTGTGATGAATCAAACAGTATTTATCCCTGGGATGCAGTAAAGAATTTTTTGGAAAAATTTGTCCAAGGCCTGGATATAGGCCCCAAAAAAACACAGGTATGGATTTGAATAATACATACACTAACCCACAGCTTTCTTTCTGAGAAAATATTGTTAGCTATGACGTCTTAATTTTTGCATTTGTCAGATCCCCATATTAAATGCATTTAATGGTAATCTTGACAGTTAATTGAAACTTGTACTACATTGAGTTGTTCTGTCTATGCCTTTGCCCAATGCTGGTTTTTGAGATTTGAGACTTCTGTTTCTGACACAAGCATCGGATGTGGGATAGAGCATTTTGTGTGTGTGTGAGAAAGAGAGAGAGAGTGGAAGTGGGGGGAGGGGCATAGGGAGAGAGAGAGAGAATCTCAAGCAGGCTCCACGCCCAGCACAGAGCCTGACTCGGGGCTCGATCTCACGACCCTGAGATCATGACCTGAGCTGAAATCAACAGTCGGATGCTTAACTGACTGAGCCACCCAGGCGTCCCTGGGATATAGCATTTTAATCCTCTTTAGTTGCTTATTTTTCCCTCCTATAACTCATGAATTTATTAATACATTTTAAAATCCTGTATGTATTCTTTCTTGACAGCCACTTGGACTAATAATTTCTTTTTATTGTTTGCTGGTAAAACAATTGTCCTTGAATTCTGGGATTTTTTTATAAAGAAGTCCATAGACAGTATAATCCTATCTTTTATTATTTTTTAGTCTTTTATCATATTTTAGTCTATCCTTCCTTTTTTACACAGGACACGTCTTTTAAATAATTTTGTGTAGCTGCCTGTGTTTTAATGAGTCTTTAATTTGCTTTTCTGTCTTCTTGAGATAGGCATCCAAAACTCAGGAACAGAAGCTTCTCACTTTCCAAAAACCAAATAGCATTTATTGTTAAAGTTTTGGGTCTTTTTTCTTTCTTTTTTATTGGATTTGCCATTTCATGGCTTATTCTGGTTGTAGAACCAACATCAACAGGAACCAGTTCACAGTTACCAGTGTATGTTTTTGGGTTGTTCCTGTCATCTGAGGCCTTAGTGTCCAACATCTAGTAACAATTGTTGGAACATTTCCCCCTAAATGTTTTGCAGTTAGCTATATTGAAATTTGATTTTCTGCTTTCCTGTACAGTATTACAAAATATTATTATATGTTTTCCCCATTGACATTGCTTTTCAATACCTAAAGGACACTAATGTCCACTGAAACTTTGGAGGTTTCACTGTGTGAAACTTCTGTGAATAAGACTATGTGTAGGGGCACGTGGGTGGCTCAGTCAGTTAAGTGTCTGACTTGAGCTCAGGTCATGATCTCAGGGTCCTGGGATCAAGCCCCACATCAAGCCCCATGGCAGGCTCCATGCTCAGCGGAGAGTCTCCTTGTCCCTCTCCCTCTGCCCCTCCCCCAGCTCGTGCTCTCTCTCTCTCTCTCTCTCTCTCAAATAAATAAAATCTTTTTTAAAAAGACTAAGTATGGCACTGATTTCTGTATAGCACCATCTTAAGGCCCATCATAAGAGAAGTTTTCCTAAGTATCTGCTTATTTTATCTGTCTCTAAATGGATTACCCCCATTACAAGATTTACTCTATTTCATAGTCTCTCGCAAGGAATTTATGGCCTTCCTCTTCTTGTCTTCCTACCCTAATACATCTTTTTCATCTCTAGAGGTGCTTTACAAAGTCTCTTTTTCTTCCAGTCTAAATTTGACCTTTCTGTAAGTCCTAATATACTACATTTCTTTGAGTCTTCTATGCATCACTCCCCTTTCTCACACCGAAGTTCTGGGGCTGTCATGGGAGTTACTAACATCTTCCTCTCATTTTAGACTTTTAAATCCTTAGAGTTATTTTTGACCCATCCTCTCTCTCAAGTCTTACATCCTATCCTAAGGAGAAGGCTCCAGCAATATCATGTTTTTCACATCTTCCTAATGCCTACTTGATTGCTTCCTAGCAAAAGTAGCTGATTGAACTCAGAAATCCAGGCCTTGCACCTTCCACCTTCCTTACAGACTGACCTCTATTTTAGAGACCTTTTTACCACTAATCTCCTATTGCCACTTCTTGTTCTGAAAGCCCCCAACTCATAGGCATAGAGGATGATTTCAGTGCTGAGAACCAGGATGTTAATAGAAGTGTTTGGCCTTCTTGATCTAAAGGATTAGGATATGTGCCCCAGAATCTTGTTCAGAAGTTGTTCTCTCTGTCAGGTCTTTCAAATAAGACTTTCCCTAATGGCATCTTCTCTGAAGGCCAGAAACTTCTTGCCCACATGCTCATATAGCAGGTTTCTTCCAAAAATGCTGAAGTCTGTGATTAGAGGAAATCCAGAACAATAAATTGACTGTGTTGATTAGCTCACTGTTTTGTTTTGGGTTTTTTGTATTCAAATCTAATTCTTTGTTTAATATGCAAATATTCTCGGGCGCCTGGGTGGCTCAGTTGGTTAAGC